ATATCACACCATCTGGCCGGAGGCCACGCTAGGTGGTATACAGCAAGAGCAAAACACAGTTAATCATCATAAATATACGATATAATCACATCGTGAAATAAAGCGAACAGCAGATCAAAGCATCAGTAACAAAATTCAGAATGAATAAACACTGAAAACAGAGCAGAGGGCAGCAATCAGTGTTAAATATACATAACCAGTGGTTATTAGATGAAATAGATTGCAAAGCCTGCCTGAAGAGAAGAGCTTTCAAAGATTTCTGGAGTGCTACCAAGGAAGGGGCCGGGCGAATTTTGGACAGGCATTCGTGCCGACGTTGCAGGAGCTACCAAAGAAAAGGCCCGGGTTCAGAAGCTCTGGCAAAGCGTGGCCTCCGTCTTCAGGGTTTGCCCCTCTGCCTTGGTCAGTGTTTCATCATCAACCCCCCAGGGAGCAATCCTCCGGCCATTGCAGAGACGTGGGTGAGTGAAGCAGGCTGCTCTGCCTGCAGAAACTCTCCCTGCTTGGAAATCCCCACTCGAAAGAATCTTTTGGGACGTCCTTCTGGACTCGTGTGGCACTCTGGTAGGTCAGCGGGCTACGTTCTCGTGTACTAACTTATAGCAACCCTAACAGGGCTTTCAAGGTAAGTAAGCCATTCAACGAGAGGCTTGATCTACCTCAGTTCCCCAGCCAGTTTCCTTGACCGAGTGGGGATTTGAACCCTGTTCTCCAAGCTCCTAGTCAGTCACTCTATCTATTCACTACATGTACAGTTAAAAGAAGCTGCTGGTGGGTCTCAGGCAGGCAGGAAGTGCCCCCTGCCGCTTGGAGCACCTCAGCTAGCGGAATGCCCAAGACAAGCCCCTTTGAGCAGCTTTCCTGGTGGCAGCAACAACAAAACCCTCCGCTTGACTCACTGTTTCTTCCCGAGGTTCCCACATCCACTTGCGTGACGGAGTGCAAGGCGGGGCAGATCCGAAGCAAGCATACCTTGGACGAGTGCACCTGTCGTTGTGACAGCTGCCCGGAAGGAACCTACCAGAACCAAACGAGTAAGCCCCCGATCTGACCCGAGTCGTGCAGCCTCGCTGGTGGGTCCGCACTGGCCACTTGCCACTCACTCGGTCCCCCCTCCTTTTGCTCTGGGTTGTCCAAGGAGAAGCTGCCCCTTGCTGACCACCTCATGTCTCTCTGTCCTTCCTCCTCCTCCTCCCCACCCCTCTAGATTCGGACTTCTGTCTGCCGTGTCCCCCCCAGATGTGGTCCCCCAAGAGGAGCAGCACCTGCTTCTACCCTGTCATCACTTTTCTCAGCATCCGCGATACCACCGTGGCCGCCTTGATCATCGTCTCCCTGGTGGACTTCTCCCTTCTGTGCGGCTGCCTGCTGGTGTTCGCCCTCCACCGGCAGACGCCCGTGGTGAGGGCCGCCGGCGGGAAGCTGGCCTTTGTGATGCTGGTCTCCCTCCTGGCATCCTGCACCACCACTCTGCTCTTCGTGGTGGAGCCCACCCCTCTGGGCTGCTTGGTCCGGCAGCCCATCTTTGCCCTGAGCTTCACCCTCTGCATTTCCTGCCTGCTGGTCCGCTCCTGCCAGATCGTCTTCATCTTCAAGCTGGCCCGGCGGCTGCCCTGGGCTCACAAGCTCTGGCTCAAGTACCAGGGCGCGTACGCCTCGCTCGGCCTCAGCGTCCTGCTGCAAGGCGGCCTCTGCGCCCTCTGGCTCAGTTTATCCCCGCCCTCCTTGCAAGCCGACGTCGTCAGCCCTCGGGAGATCTTCCTGCGCTGCTCCGAAGGGCACGTCTTGGGCCTGGGCTCCGTGCTGGGCTTCCTGGGACTGCTGGGAGCAGCCTGCTTCGCCCTGGCCTTCTGGGGCCGGAACCTGCCCAAGAACTACAGCGAGGCGCGGCTGCTGGCCCTCAGCATGCTGGTCTTTCTGATGGGCTGGGGCTCCTTTATGCTCATCTACGCCACCACCGAGGGCAAGGGCCGGCAGATCGCCACCCTGCAGATGTTCACCGTCCAGACGAGCGTCTACGCCATCCTGTGCACTTTCTTCCTCCCCAAGTGCTACATCATCCTCTTCAAGCCCCAGCACAACACTGTGGCTCACTTCCAGACCTGCATCCAGACTTACACGGCCACCCCGCAAACCATGACGCCTTGAGCACGGCACAGGCTGTGGCTTTTTGCTTCCGGCGAGAACAACCTGGCCTGGGACTCTTAAGGCCCAAGCAGGAAACGCTCTCAACACTCACCGGGGTCTAGAAAACCCCGGTGTGAGGGTCAGAGGTGAGATCTTTGCTAGAGACTCAAGAAAGGGACACGGGAAAGCAGGGGAAAGCCGGCGGGTGGGGCGTCTTGCAGCGTGGAGGCAAATCGGAAGAGGTGTGCCAAGCACACACCTGCGCACCACCGGCGCCTACCCTGGGGGCGTCAGACTTTGGTGCAGAATGCCCAAACCCCATTTGCAGAGCATTCCTCGATTTTAAGGCTGCGTCTTCTTACAACGAAGCAGCTGCCCCTCCCGCCCCTTGGCATGCCCACTTAGAGAAAGGATGATGGAGAGCAGAGGAAGCTTTTTCCCCCTCAATCAAAAAGAAGATCCACCACCAGGGATCTCTCTTCCCGAGAGCCTTGCGGCCAGGAAACCACGCCAGCTTTTAGGAACACATACGCTCCGGAGGTCCTTACGATTCAGGGTTGGTGGATCCCCTACAGCAGGCTCACCAAGCCCACCTGAAAAAGAGGCGAGTCCCACGTACGCATTACGAGCGAACCGCTTTTCCATCTCTCTCATGCTCGCTCACTCGCTCTCTGTGCCGTTTGCACGGGTGATCTGAAAAGCGGGCGAAAGGTTTGTTTTAAAGAGCCACCCAATGTGATAACGCCCATGAGGTCAAGGCTGGCATCTGGCATTCGGCGCCTTCATACTTTTGAAGCTGTCCCTCTCTTTCTCGGAGCTACGTACCTCACAGCGTCTCCTCCATTTGCATGGCCTGGGCAATCAAACGAGCTCATTTGGTAATCAAAGACACTGCTTTACATGGAGGTCAAAATGCCCGCCGGCAGCCGGTCTCTGCCTGCCTGTTGTTCCCGAGCATGGGCTGAAAAGGAAGCTAGCAGCGGGTTTGAGCTTCCCTGGTCGGTTATTTACGTCTCACAAAGCCTGGCCACCGTCTTTAACAACAGCTGTGTGTCTTTGTCTCTTCTGAACAAAATATATCCCCCCCCTTTCGTGATGGTCTGGGTCAGAGTCGGTTTGCAAGAGAAACGTGTGTGTGCCGTTTCATTTCGGTTGTTTACATGAACGCGCATTCTGTACAATTGCTGTAATTTGTTACCACGTTTTGGGGAATGAATAAAGCCAGCTGGATCGAGAAATGTACCAAGCTGGGTGTCCTCATAATTCTTGGTTTAGATTTCTCCCCATACAGATACGAGCACCTCCATTGGCTTAGTATGAGACGGCAGGAGGTTTTAAGTACCATGATGCCACCACCATGATTACCTTGTGTAACTAAAACTGGAAACCAGTTTGTCTCCAAGCTTGCTTTAAGAAACCTGTGTCAACCTTTAGACAGGGGCAGTAAACATCCCAGTGTGATGTAGTAGTGGACAGAGTGATGGACCAGGACTCGGGAGACTTGAGTTTGAATCCCCCCTCAACCACAGAAACTCACGGGGAGTGCGGAACTGGTAAAACCAGTAAAACCCTTCCACTTTGGATAAACTGGCCAATTATTACCATCGTTATTATTGTTGATGATTATGTTGCTGTTATGGAAAAACACCAGGCACAGTCAATCAAAATTATAAACACATTGACTGGCATTGTAGAACACAAGTTTTAACCAAAAAAATAAGTATCTGTCAAATATCGGCGCAGTAAGTATGCTGTTTATAATATTGCTTTTTTCTTTTGTAGCTCTGACGGTGTCATTTCTGAGATCTGCAACCGCTTGTAACACTGTGTGAAATGTCTTGATACTGTTTCCCAAAGCCCCAATGACGAGGGGGACCACTGAGTGATGTTTCATCCACAAGCCAAATGAAACTATTATGATTGGTGTAAAAAAAATGCAACATTAACAAGCTGCTTAAAAGGTGGGGGGGGGACTCGTGGAGGCTCCTTTATTTATTTATATCATTTCTATGATATAAATAAATATATCTAAGCCTTCTACTCAAAGGCCACATCAGTTTCTTCCCCATTGTTGGATGGAAGAAGAAGCCAGCCGATCTGGTCAGGACGTCCCGGGCGGAAGTCCAAAAGGCACTTTGCCCATTCCCACGGCTTCAGAGCCCTAGACCGTGGGTGGAGAGCCCTGGTCATTGCGGGAAGCCTCTCGCTTTCGAGGTACAGCGGAAGCAGCACTTTGGGGGTGGGTCAATGCATCACTACAACTTTCCCACTACGTCTCCCTAGGTCACGATCCTCCGGGAAGCCACTCCAAGGGAGGCCAAGAAATCCTCAACTAGAATTGAGGGATCCAAAGGGTCCCTTCCAGCTCTGCTGTTCTAAGATGATGATGAAGCAGAGCCTTCTTTGCGGTGGCTCCACCGTCATGGAGCCAACTGCCTCCCTCCCTTTAAAAGATCGCTGAAAGCACTGCTTTACAAAGAGGCCTATTCTGGCGATCCTGCATTTTCTGCTCCGGCTACTCTATAGGGTTACATGCCCGTGCCGTTTCTCATTTTATATTCCCGCCGCTGGATGTTTTTGACCGTTACTGCGTTGTTTTCATTCCCATTTATGGTTTCGACTGTACGCCGTCCAGAGCAGTGCTTCTGCACTAATCGGGCAGCCTACAAATTGAATTCATTCGTAGTTTGATTGATTTTTTTTCCGGGTGCTGGATAACCGACGGTAAAGACGAGGCACGTTTGACTTGTGGTGGAGAAGCCCTCTTTTACTGAAAGCAAAAAAAAAAAAAGATCCAGGAGGCACAAAAGGGAAGTGGAACAACCGGGAGGGATGTCACTGAGATGTTGGATCTCTCTGGACCGCTTTCGGGACCGGAGCTAAATTTGCTAAAGTGCTCTAAGGACGAAGCGAAGGATTCAGGGCCTCATCCGTGTCTCTCCTCCCAGCGGCTCTCTCGACAAATCAAAGCACGGCACCCTCGGGATTCTCTGGAGGGGACCCGGGCCCCTAATCCTTCAGCACCAGAGGCGCCTTAACCTGGGCAGCCACCTCCTTGCCCAGCAGCTCTTCCACGATGGCAAGGCCAAACTCGAAGCTGGTGCCAGGGCCTCGGCTGGTCAGAATGTGCCCATCCTTCTCCACGCGGCTCTCCGAGTACTTGTAGTGATCTGATGGAGGAGACGCGAGAGGGACGGACCGTCAGCTGGCAGGGGCAAGAAAAGGGTATTGCCCCAGCCTGCCTGGGGAACCCAGCTGCCCCCCCTTTAACAGAAGGGAGGCTGCCGTGCTCAGCGGCTGAACTACAGACTGCAGAGAACGCCTGCGATTTGGGGAGGGAGGGCATCTTTAGAACTTCATTTCAAAATCCCGGAGGTAGAGGCGGTGGGTGGGAAAATCCTCCTGGGCCACTGCTGGATCTTGAGACCCTCACGGCCACCCTTCTTCCCATCGAAAGAAATACCGTATTTTTCCGTGTATAAAAATGACACATTTTCCTAGAATAATTGAAGGGGAAACTGAGGGTCATTTTATACTCGGAAGGAGGGGGGAGAGGGATCAAAGTGCTTTGATCCCTGTTTCCCCCTCCACGTTTAGCAAAGAAAATGCAGGGGGAAAGTGATTCCTACTTTCCCCCTACATTTTCATTGCAAAACATTTGCAACGAAAATGTAGGGGGGAAAGCAGAAATTGCGTGTCCCCCCCCCCCTGCATTTTCTTTGCAAAACGTAGAGGGAGGAAGCTGCTTTTTGCAATGAAAATGCAAAGTTTTTTTAAAAGAAAAGTGGGGGGGGCGTTTTATACATGGGGCGTCTTATACACGGGAAAATATGGTAAGTATTTCTCCCTGTCCAGAAGCGGCTCCAGGAAGCCCCTGGGAACAATGTCACTCTTTCAGGAAAAGACTGCACTTTGTTCCTGCAAAATTGAGATGTGGGCTCAGGGAAGAGATTTCGGGGAAGCCAAATAAGCAAGGAGACCTTCTTTGGCCAAATGGGGACTCTGATCCTCAGAAATTGCTTGAGCCATTTCCAAAAGTGATATCTCCCTGTGCCAGGAAAGCAAGCATCTCAGGAACTGTATCAAAAGCCAGGCCCCATTTTTAACAGCCCACATTTAGCTGTGAGCTCTGCCTTGATCCCAGGATCTTACCCTCCAGACCTAGCGTCAGGTCAGCGTGGCCCTTCTCCAAGAGCACAAGTGTGTGACATGCAGGAGCCTGGAAGGCTTCCCCCTCCCTCTAAAGGGTTCTCCTCCCCTCCTTACCTCCATTCATCATTTTGTCCTTGGCCAAGGGGTGGGTGGTCACTTTGCTTCCAAAGCCTATTCCGTGGGCCAGCAGAGCTGTGGGACCTGGGAAGAACCAGGAGGAAAGGCTGTCACAAGGGCCACAAGCCTTGCACAAGAGGGGGGAGGGGGTTAGGGTTGCAACCTATATGTTCATGCCATTGAAGGCTCCAAGTTGCCACAGGAGGCTTTAAAATCCTACCAACAGAACAGACCACTTGAGCAAGTGGTCAGCGGGCTCAGCAGGCAAACATGCTCATACAGTAGCTCTTGGAGTGAATAAAACAATTCTCCAAGCCTGGACTAAGTGGGAAATGGTTTTACAAGAGCCCACCAATACTTACAGGTTAGGGCCCTCCTTGATGCCCACATGGCCACATCTTGGCGTAACTTTGGCTGACTTTTTTTTTAACTTGGAAAATACATGCATGTATGTATAGCATGAAGGGGGAAAGTCCTTTTTTAATTGGGTGGGGAGTAAAACTGCTGACTGCAACTTTACCTTTACCTACGAGCCCTTCTGCCCCGCGGCTTTGCACAAGCCCTAAAGACAAACAACAACTCTCTGGGGAACCCGACCCCACAAGAAGCAAAGGGAAAATTAAAAAGTGGGTCGAAGAAGGGAAGGGGGTGTTGTTTCCCGGGGATTCGCTGCAGCCCAGCCAGTCGTGAGACTTGCTGTCAAGTCAGACTTCAGTCGCACCCGTGACTCAACTCAGGATTTATTTATTTTTGAATGCTTCATTTTTTGAATGACTTAAGACGCGACTCGGAACCCACTTGCCCCTCCCTTTTTTCTGGGGAGAAAAAAAAGCTTGTTTTTAATAGAGACTCGGGACTTGGACCCAAGGACTTGCCAATAACCCTGAGCAAAACTAACCAAGCTTCTGCCAAATACAGTGGTGCCTCGCTTAACAATGTTAATTGGTTCCAAAAAAACCACTGACAGGTTTCAAACATTTTAAGACACTTTTAAATGAGTGATAACAGACATCGTTAAGTGAAAATCGCCCATAGAGAACATCGTTAAACGATGCAGAAAATTCCTCAAAAAAACCATCGCTAAGCGAATACATCGTTAAACGAAGCAATCGCTAAGCGAGGCACCACTGTACACCTTGTTAATTTTTAAAGGACCCCCAAATCCCCCAAAGTTTAGTTTTCTCCACTAGAAGACAAGCTGCCTGTTGAATCGATGGGGGCCTTACTGACACACCCACCCTGGATAAGAGCTAGCGACAACAGATTTTCACACATACTCTGTCATTTAGACTTTTTAAAATACTACCAATATCTCTGCATTGGTAAAACCACCGAGTGTAAGAAAGGAGACGACAGAAAATCTGACCATGTTTTTTTGACACTGCACCAGCTCCTTGTTTACTTAAGAGCTGAACTTTGTGGGTTCCATCTCATACTAGGCAGAGGGTTTCTCGATATGCAGCTCAGGGGCTGGTTTCAGTCAGCCCATCAGATAGCAAAACCACACAGGCGGGGGCCATTTAGCAAAGGCCAGCCCTCTGATTGGGGAGGGCGCGCACACACACATACACAGAGAGAATGTCCTCTGGGGTTCCCATCTCAGCGACCACTGGATTTCCAGTTTGGCCATGAACCCGTCGTGACTTTGGTGCTCGTGAGAGGGGGGAAATGAGAGCCGATAGTCTGGGGAAGTGCTTCTGCCTTAGAGGCTGCAGGAGCATCGTTTCCCCATGAATAAGCCAGCAGGAGATTGGGCCAAGGTCTAGGAACCACAAGAAGCCACGTGAGAACCACGGGGAGGCGGCTCGTGGGCCTCCTGGGGAAAGGAGCATTGCCGGCCTCTGCCTGTCCATGATGGCTCCCGATGCCGTGCCCCACTTCCTCGCCCCATGGCTCACCTCCCAGCCCCCCAGCATCTATGAACTTCCAGAAACACCTGCCTCGCCTGCTGGAAATGCCAAACAGACTCCACGAGGAGTCTCAGCGCCATCCGCTGGACGAGAGGGGTGCAGGCAACATGCCACAGAAACCCTGCCCAGAGTGGGGTGCGATGATGCACAGGAGACGGCCCTCCCTCCATAGGAGGGCTAGATCCTTTCCGAAACGCCCTTCTTTCTGTCCAACTGCAATGGCCACCACCACCCCCAAAAAAGGGACCCCCTGCAAAGCACAGCAAAGGGCTGGTGGCAAGAAGCAAGGGGTTGGGTGGGAGGCATCATGTCTCTCTCTTACACACACACCCCACAAAAGCCAAGCAGTCCAGTTCTTTCGTCAATGGGGAGGCTTCTCCCCTTTCCTGCTGCCTTCAGGGAGGAGGACCTGGGCGTGGGAGGGCACAGGGACCAGAATAAGCGCCTCACGCAG